TGCTCATACTGCTTCAATCACTCTTAGACATGCTTCATGTGTTCATCAGAAGGCTGAAATCCACATGAGCTGAGTCCACACCACTGATCGGCAAATAACGTAGAGCTCACTCAGATTCACTCAAGAAATATATTTCGCCCTTGAGACCATAGGTCGGCGAACTCACTCAGATCGAGCCGTGAGTCTGAGTGAGTCCAGGCCAAGAATATTTTGGTGAGTCTGAGTGAGTCAAAAGCACAAGATATATTTGTTGAGCGAGTCTGAGTGAGTTTCATTTTCTTTTGCCGGCTTAGGGTCCTATCTATACACTATTCAGCATTACTATCGGTCTTACCTGGACTCAAGACTATACCAAGCCAGTGGCATGTTGCGAGCTTCGCGGCCGCGCCGTGAAGCATCGCCACCATCAAAACGACGACAGCGCACCGCCCGCGTAGGTAAACGAAACTGAACGAAGCCTTTTTTTATGGTTTTATTTGTAAGATTAAAAATGGTAAGCATAAAAAACTGTTTCTCATTTAGTTTTAGAAAATTGGTAAGTGACGCACTTTAAGTGGCAGCGCATACCAGAAAAGAAACAGTCGCGCCGCACTGCTCATGAAAGGCACGCGGATATGTTGATACTAATGATATAAAGTTTACAAAGTACTGTCAACAAGGTGTTGCGAAATCTTGAGCTACACAAGTACCGGGACGTAAGCGGTATACCCTTGCTTATTCCAGCGAAGGTTTTGTGGAGTGCGATGGATATATCAGCCAGCCCTGGGCAGCTTCTGTGCTTCGGGCATCTGCGTTGGGACTATGCGTAGTACGTACCTTCTTTGCGCATGAACGCTGATGCATGCATATTGTTCACTACTGTGTCTGCTAAACTGTTATTTACGTGACATTTATTTGATGTAACCATCGATAGACTGACTCGCATTAAAATGATTTATTGCTGCAAGCTTGTGTGATCAGCGTTGTCATTTCGCTCGGCCTGTATGCGGCATCCCAACTTACTAAGGTAAGTATGCAAGAAACTTAGGAGCTTGTAGTAAGTAGTTTACTGCAATGTACTACATGGAAACGAGAGAAATTGAGAAAGGGGCTGCCGCAGCGAGCGGGGGCAGCCATGACGTAGAAGAAGACGGGAATGCCTGCCGCCATATCAAAACACCCTTGAGCTTTTGAAAACTATTTCATTTTGTGCACAGCAATAAATTATACAAACAATATTCTTCGTTGTTATTTGTTCGAAAAAGTTTTTTCAGAGTAAGAGATTATAAAAAGTTTTTCGGTTGTAAGTAAAATAGTGATAATTCAATCTTTTTTGGATTACCGACATAATCCAGACGGCGCCATCATCGCGTCCAATTTTTGTTCTCATTGGCTTTATTAGTGTCACTACTTTGAATATACTCCCACATATTCCAAAGCAGTGCCCTTCAAACATCATTTCTTTACTTATTGATCAGATACGCGAATTAACGTCAGTGCTGTCTTCATCTTCCCCTAGCCAAGTCTTCCGGGGAAGTTCTTCATAAATATATCTTATGTTGTCATCTCTTCCGAGAAACATTACCTTTCGTATAACTCACTCGTGTTCGAAGGTACTAAATCAATCAATGCCAAGAAGGGCACCGATTGCGTGAGGTATTGGTGTTAAAGAGCATAGACACCAGGTTTCAATAAGTTAATTCAAGACTGATAGACTCATGAGTCGACTCAATCGAACTCACTCATACTCAGACCGAACCGTGAGTCTGAGTCTGAGTGAGTACGGGTGAGTTTTGGTGAGTTTGAGTCCGAGTGAGTTTGGTTGAAGTAAATTTCCGTGAGTGTGAGTCTGAGTGCGTCCGTCTCAGTAAAACTTTGATAAGTGTGAATCAGAGTGAGTCCAAAGCACGAAATATGTTTAACAAGCCAGTCTGAGTGAGCTGCACAAGTTTTGCCGACCTCTGCTTGAGACTCATTCGCACTCATATTCACCAAAACTTTCATCAATCTAACCCACTCGGATGCAGATTCGCAAAAAAAAAAAAAAACTCTCAGCCGGACTGACTCCGACTCAGACTAATCAAAATATTGCTCCCTTGGACTTAGTCAGATTAAGACTCATGGCTCTATATGAGTCTGAGTGAGTTAGCGTGAGCTGACTCATGTGTCCGTTAGCGTACTATTGGCTTTTTCGAACGTGGTGTTAATGCTCCTTAACACCAATATCTCGCACAATCGGTGCTCTACTTTGCAACATTTGATCATGTGCCTTCAAATATGTGATATCGATGGCTACAATCTAGTAAGGACATTTTTATTGAAAGAGGTGACTCACACCAGATATTTTTACCAAGGATTTCCGGGAAATAGTTGCCGAAGGAGTTAAGAGTCTAAGGCACCCCCCGCCCCTCTCCTTCGTAAATCACGCATTTGACCAATAAATAATGAGCTGGTGTATAAACGCTGGTAGTTTGGAGTAGGTTTGAGAAGAAGTCAATAGAAACGTGAGCCGACGTAGGATTGACAGTAGTGCTGAAGTTGAGTAATAGAACCTTAGTTGACCCTATACTTGACTCAGACAAGAAATACATTTTGCGTTTTGGGCTCACTGGGACTGCAACTCACCAAAATTTTACTCAACCGGAATCACATGGGCTCATAGTGCACAAAATATTACTCACCCGGACTCACTCAGACTCAGACTGACGACTCGATCTGAGTCTGAGTGAGTCGACTCATGCGTGAGTTCGCCGATCTGTGTGTCCGCACAACAGGTACTGGATGTTCTATGTCCAGTGCTTGCAAGCCTTCGGTAAGCACCATGACTCGACAATCTAGAGTGGAATGTGATCTTGATTGATATGGGGGTTTAAAGTCCCAAAGCCAACATATGAATATGACAGATGCCGTAGTGAAGGGCTCCAGAAATTTCGACCACTTGGGTTTCTTTAACATGCACCCAAATCTGAGCACACGGGCCTACAGCATTTTTGCCTCCATCGAAAATGCAACCACCGCAACCGGGATTCATTCCCGCGACCTGCGGGTCAGCGGCCGAGTACCTTAGCCACTAGACCACCGCGCCGGGGCAGTGGAATGTGATAGCTTGGGGTCCTGTGTCCTTTGCTACAGAACACAGCAGTGTAGTTTTGACTTAAATGCATCGTTTTTTGTATGTTCCCTTCTTACCATCTATCTTTTCATCCTTTAGTCCCCTTGACCCTGCGTAAACTAGCGAACCGAACGCACGTTTGGTTGACCTTCCTGTTTCTCCTTCCTCCTCCTGTATTCTTACACGTCAGTAACTCGAAGATTTCTTCCGCATTCATAGGTTCAGCTATTTGAAGCTTGCAGGATATGCGTCCAAACTTGGGCGCGAGAAAGATAACGTAGCGTATGACGACTTCATTGCGAGGCAGTGATTGCGAAGTGAAACCTCTAATTATAGGTTCCTGTTCAACGAGAAACAGCTCTATTAAAAGCAGACTTTTACAAACGAATCACGCTAGAATGTTCGTAAGGGGAAATTTCAGGCAACGCAAGCTTTAGACGTATCATTTGTGAAAGTGTGTGGGCCACTAGCAAATATAATTTACGCAAGAAAGGCTTCGTAAATTCGGCCCCTTGCAGTTGTTGTCGTATAGAGTGGAAGAAGGGCGACGAGGTTATGTAAGAGAGAGCAGAGTACACAAATGCCAAGACAAAAAAAAAGGGTGAGGGAAAAACTCCCAGGGTCGCTTATGCATTCGCCTAATGGACGACTCGAAGGCGAGAACCATTTTCTGTTTCTTCCACGTCGACGTATTGGTCATCCCCACCTCACTCCGAAAGCCGTCTACACCTAATGTGTTTTTACGCTGCCTTCAGGATCGCAAGCATTGCAAGCTTTCTGTACCCCCCCCCCCCACTCCTCCTGGTTCTGTACTGTCTTCATAATCGGCCCATCTTTGACCAGGCAACGAGGTTACGTGATGACACCATCATTTAACTCCACAATGGCGTTGAATTTTGCAGTCTGTAACGTTATGTGAGCGCCATATGGTGACGTCATCAAATGATGATGAGCTTTGGGTCACTCTTGTTGACGCTGCCGACGGTACATTTTCGCGCTAGTTGAGAAACCAAAAACTGTCGCCGTAATCACATTTAGTGCATGCCCAGCTTAAGTGAATTTTTTCCGCTCTTCTGTAAGCTTAAGTCAGCGTGGTAAAGACAAGCGAGGGTCACGGGGGCGACACCCGTGTATACCCAAAGGCGATGCGGGCGTGTCTGTCTAATGGCGCGTTCCGTGAAGGAGTAGCTCGGGTGCAAGGTGCCACCACGACGCAGTGGCTCTATAGTTACATGACGTAGATGGGTCTCTCGGGGCTCCAGAGATTCGTTCGATGAGGGGAATGGTGGTTCTGCTGACTTAGTGGAGCTTTAGATTATCCTTAGAAGTGTGACAGTTTGAGCTATCGTCGTTTGGATTATCCTTTGCGACTCGTGATGCGCAGCCTAACTAGCAGCGTCATTACGCGTTCAGTTGTCGGGGGGCTTTTGTGGAGGGCTATATACGCAACCCGTGTGGGCGCGAAACTGGCAGGGTGTTGGTGATGCTAGGTGAGATGCGGAAACAGTTGGCCACCAGCTGTTTACTGCTGTAGCGACTGTGGAGAGGGGTGTTGACCGGTCGAGGGAGAAACGCGGTCAAAACTTCCGGTCCGCATCGAAGCGGCCGGTCTCAATAACGGCCCCCGCCGCTCACTTTCACCGCTCGCGCGCGTCGACACAGAAACACGAAAGAAGGAGCGGACCGCATTTCCTCCGCCATGACCTACAACAACGCGTGTGACGCAACCCAACGCCGGGCAGAAAATAAGTTCCCCCTGGCAGTTGTGGCGACCGAGAGTGAATGCGCCGCCGAGGGGCCCCCACGCGAAGGAAAAGCAAAAAGCAGCCGCCCATTGGAGCCCGGTTACGTAGCGCCTGACGTAACTTTTGCCCGCGCGATCCCCTTCTTTCCGGCGGCACAACTTTCGCTCGGCGGCTGTTTCTCTGCCGCCGGTGTGCCTACGCGAAGAGCTCTGCGCCGCCGATCAAGAGTCGCTGGGGCGACGCCGACGACGAGGCATACCATGCGGCCGCCCGGGCTGCCGCTGCGGCCCAGCTGCTCGTAGCAGGCACAGCACTTCTCCGTAGTCATGAGTGTGGGAACCCAGGCGCTGCCACCGCTCTGCCGCCATGCAGTTGTGGATATGTCTGCCCACCAGGTAACGTCACCGCCTCACCCTAACAACAGTGACCACGGTGCGATATGCCTGTCGTGGTCAGAGTGCCTCTTCGTCCGCATGTTTGCCGACGGCCAACCCTGGCGCCGGCATACACGCGGCACGAGATTCGAGAGCATGCACTCGGTACAATTGAAGAACGGAGACGATCATCATGCTTATACGCTTCGTCGAGCCGTAATGCGTTAGTGCGCGATCACGTTTTTCCATAGCAGTTACCATGTGAGTTGTGCAAACATAGAGCGCACCTGTCGGTATCGAAGAAGCTCTCTCTGCGAACTTCTATAACTGCAACAGAGAACACACACACATTGTGTGATCTAAAGTTTTAGAGCACACGATTCGCTGACTGGTAGGCGCGCACGCCTTTTCATGGCGAAACAAGTGAGCACGCTCAGCGGCATAGACGAGCATGTAAACACTACTGAAGATTCAGCTTAAAAGGTATCTGCGAAACAAGTGCAGGTACATGAGGAAACACGCGGCATAACAGGAAAGCATATCATTTTTGTCCAGTGCTGCTTATACCTAAATCCCTATTTCCAGTCAAACCAATGTTAACGCCAGATAATTCGTTTTTTGCTTCGATTTTTGTCTCATACAGGGCATGCTCTACCTGCGAGTGATACCGTCGAGGCACTATAGGTATAAATATAATTACTACTAGAAAAAGGTACTGAAAATTAAACAGAATAATACAAAAAGAAAGAGAATGAAAATCGCTGTTCTCAGTCTATATAGGCCCTAAATCCACATCTTTATATGTATATCAACTTGATTATCAAGTATGGCTTATTCCCCGCCCCGTATGATCTGAATACCTTATTTCAGGTGTCCTCAGTATCTTTTACAACTCGCATTCCTCAACGCTCTTGAGCGGTTACGTAGCCGGATTAAAGCAAAAATTAATTTCTTCTAACCAATTATGGCGCCTGCCTCCGCGCGCGAGCAAGTCCTTTAGTAGCGCAATGGTGGAAAACCTTGAATCGTGTCGACCACTTCGCAAAGAGGGCAGACTCGCCTATTAAAGCCGGAGAAGATAAAATGGGAATGTTTAAAGCGAGAGGAACTTGTGGTTGAGCTGGTGTGACATCCTTAATGAACACCCCGCGCGAAAAACAGAGCACCAGTCTGTTGTATTTCCTCGTAGTCCCAGTGTTTTCTTGCGCAGCGTATTTATTAGGCAAACGTTTAAAGCGAGCTACCTGGACAGGTAGGATGTGTTTCAATACGAAAATCACTTGCCTATGTAAGAGCGCTGAGATTCTTTTTGTCTGTTCTCTTTTCTCGGCGACGTTGTTTTCAGGACGAAGTACGAAGACCCTGTTGTACGTTTTTACGTTGCAGCGCATGTCCTGTAATTGCATATTCACTCGTTTAAAAATTTATTGCAGCTCCGTTCGCAGCGTATAACACGTTTTGCTCACATTTTTACCCCAGCGCTGTTCTTTTTTATCCCTTTTATAAACGCTTCATTGATGCGCTTACTTATGCGTCGCAACATATGTCCCATCATTGCTCTTTTCACCTTCCCCCTTCATTATCGTTTTCTGTTTTGTTGTGCTATCTGCTGTTTAGCCGATCTGTACTTATAGGTTAGAAAGTTCTTTGACAATAGATCTAGACTGCTTATTGGTGGAAGCGGCTGGGTAAATTTTACCAGAATATGCAATGACGGCACATTTGGAGCGTCGAATATGCACTACGAAATCAGGGCACCAATGAACTCCACATAAACATACTGGAAGAAATACACAGTGGATCCACAGCCATCATAATTCTCCATAAAGAAAATGACAGATTCTCAATAAAGAAGGAAGTAAGGCAAGGCGACACGATCCCTTCAATGCTATTCACCTCGTGTTTACAGAAGGTTTTCAGAGCCCTAGCTTAGGAAGAGTTGGGGATAAAATTTAATGAAGAATATTTTAGTAACCTGCGATTCGCTGATGACATTGCCTTAATGAGTAACTCAGACGAATTACAGCGAATTACAGTTCATGATTACTGAGCTGGACCCGGCAAGCAGAAGAGTAGGCCTGAAAATTAGTGTGCACAAAACTGAAGTAATGGACAAGAGTCTCGCCTGAAAACAGACTCTGCGATAGGTGGAGAGACGCTGGAAGTTCTAAAAAAATTATGTTTAGTTAGGACAAGTTATAGTAACCACGGAGACGGACTATGAGAGTGAAATGACTAGAAGAATAAGGATATAGTGGGTCACATTCGGCAAGAATTCTCAAATAATGAATGGTAATCTGCCACTAACCCTCAAGAGGAAGGAATATAACAGCTGCATCTCGCCGGTACCTACCTACAGAACAGAAACTTGGATGCTTACATAGAGGGTACAGCTTAAATTTAGGACGACGCAGCGAGCGATCAGAATGAAAATGATAGGTGTAACCTTAAGAGACGTCGTGGTGGCTTACGAGACAAGAAGAGAACATGGGTCAGAGAACAAACCGGGGTTAAGGATATCGTAGTTGAAATCAAGAAGAAATGAACATGGGTCGGGCACATAGCACGTGGGAAGGATAACCGCTGGATATTAGGGTAACTGACTGGATTCCCAGAGAAGGCAAACTCACGAAGGGGAGACAGAAAGTTAGTTGCACGGGCAGATGAGATTAAAAAAACTCGCAGGGATAACGTGGCAGCTAATGCACAAGACGGGGTTGATTGGCGGATCATGGGAGAAGCCTTAACCCTGCAGTGGGCATAGTCAGGCTGCTGATGATGATATGTGCACATATGATGTTGTCTCGACAAAATTTTCACCCTGATCGATGTGAGGACCGACAACAGCGTAGAATATCTGAAACATATGAAGAGTATGCCTAAAAATAAACCTAAATTTTACACAGAAGTGTAAGAGATTATGCTACTCGCCAATCCCGACATATCCTTTCTGTTTGTTCTTGTTATTGGACCAGTGAAGTTTCATTTAACCTTAGTTTTCTGGTTCGTTTACTTATATAGAAGAGCTAGCTACATTGCAGTGTGATGACGGCTTGTTAAGTAACGTGAACACGGACGCCTGCTCTCTGTTGTAAATAATTTGCGCGTGTTCGTACACGACAGGGGAAATGCCTGTAGTGAAGAGTCTGACACGGTTTTGCGCAATGCGCATGCACGTAACCGCGGCAGACTACGGGGCGCATAGAAGGCCTGCTGTCGCATTCACATTTGCCCGGAAGCTCTAAAGACGCAGGGGAAACTGCGGTCCTTACTTTTAGAACTATTTTACACGAGGAATTTAAAGTATGCTGCACGACACGGTTATCAATCAGCCCCACACATGCCATCTTTAGTTTCGTTTCTTTAGACAGCGAAGACTGCAAGAATGCGTCTACAATATGAGAGCGCCACATTTACAGAACACAGCTATGCTGTTGCACGGGCATGATTACATGGGCTAAAGTTGTATATTAACGTACGTGTGAATCAAGATTCCTTCGGTGTAGTAGGGAAAAAAAAGTTCTCAGACGTACTCTTTAAGCTTGGTCGTTGCAAGTGACAATCGATTATACAGAAGAGCGCTGATTCATACTTAGGAGTATAATAAGGCCCTCCCGACTGCCATGATGGTTGCAATAACAAGTTAAGCGATGAGTGATGCAGAACGATGCCTTACAAATGTGTCATTTATTAGCTGGCACAAAACGATATTAGGATCGAGTGATTCCCGAAATATCCGCTGTGTAACTGCTTGCTAAACGTGGCATTTAGAGCATTTTAAAGACCCAGATTATGTGACAAGGACTATACTCAATACTATCTAGCAACCACGAAGGCGTGAAAAGACGAGCCCCGAAGCGAACGAAGCGAAACCACACTCCGAAAGTAAAGTGCTAGTGTCATTGAAGTAATGACATGCGTCGCTTATTCACTTATATTAAAAGATCAAAGTGCACTTCATTATGAATCCATAAACAAAATGTCAGCGCGAGATCGCTGGGACTTGGTGGTTTGCCATATTGCATGACGTATACAGGGTATTAAGATACCCTGTATACGTCATGCAATATGGCAAACCACCATATTACACAGGCATAGCAGCTGCAATGACACAGGCATAGCAGCTGCAATGTGGTACACAGACAATTACCGCACGTGGTGTCTCAAACGTCGAATACATACGCATCTGCGTTCATATGAAGTGACGTCACTGAGGGAGCCACGTTGAAGCCCCGACATGGAGGGATGCGAACATTGCGATGCAGCGTTATTTTTATCAGTACATCGTATGCTGCTTCCTTCGTTATACACGCAGAGAGGCCCAGTAACGTTTCAGCAACGTCGTTATCGTGCCGAAGCAGATTAATCACCACGTGATTATACTGCGTTGACGTCGTCCAAGCCGCCTTGTTGTTCGTCCATGACGTCAAGCGCAAGCTGTCAATTAGCTTCCTATTTACGTGTCTAGTAAAACCACACCAGAAACCACAAGGCTTCAAACTCTGTCCAGGTGATTGCACTCCGCAACCTGATAATTAATCACATACCTCGATGAAGCGTTCACGCCGCAGAGCAGGTGAATGCCACCGAAACGTCACACGGTCGCGTTGGCGTGTGCATCAGAGCTGGCGTTCCCAGAAATAATCTGGATATCTGCTGAACTTTACGGTTCATCGACGCAGCACTCCGCCATGACGCGAATGTTAATCGTCGCCATACCATTTTACTTTTTAAAAGATTTTCCTCTTGCTGACCCCTGTTTTGTAATTTCCACATTTTCCTCTTTCATCGAACGTGCTTTCTGGCTTGACCAGCGGCGATTATCTTATAATGCAATGCCGAATGTCAAGAAAAGTTATCGGTGAGCAGCTACTCAATTCTATTCGCCCACCAAAGAAAGCTCAATTTATACTGCAGAGTTTTAGCAGTGTGCTGCTTTACTTTACGAAACCACAATCCTTCATTCAACTAAAATCTTAAATACTGCGTAGCGAAGAATTCAAGGCGTGAATTAAAAAATT